CACCCCTAAAATAGGAAAGGTAACCTACTAAGAATGAGAGAAAAACGGTGTGTGTGTGTGTGTGGGGGGGGGNTGGGGGAAAAAAAAACCACACCTGAATAGCCAAAGAAAGTCTTAAGTTGGAGATAATGAATTGAAGAGACAGGAGGTTTTTTTGGATGCCCCATCAAAAGCTGATTAGTCGCCAAACTGTGGGGTTTACCAAAGGTAATATGATGTACATCTCTTACATCTTAGTTTTGGTTTCTCCATTTATGACTCCCTCTTCCTCAGTAAACTAAATTGAGAACAAGTACACATTTTAATTGACTTCGTATCCCTAACTCCTGATTTAATGCCTAGTCCAATGTGAGTTCTCAGGTATTTGTCAAATGCAAAAAATTAGGCGTCTGCTTTTATCTTCAGCAGAAGCTAAAGGGAATTCCTCCTGCTGCTATGTTTATTATTTATATAAGATTATTCTGAGTGTTTTACATGAGTTAACTCATTTAAGCCACAAAGTAACCCATCGGGGTAGGTATTATTATATTTTCCATTTTTTCAGAACTAGGAAACACATAAAACAATTTTACAAGGTCCCACAGGAGTTAAGTGGCAGAGCAAAGATTTAAAGCCAAAGACTCTGTCAAAGGGGCCACTGTATTTGTTCTTAAGGCCTCTGGGACTTACCAGGAAAAAAAGAATAAATACCATGGTGATTATCCAACTGTTTAGATCAGGACTACATAAAACTGAGAGAATTCCTTGTGCTTGTTCTTAATTATTTTAAGCATCCAAAAATTTGTGTAATTGCTAGTCAGGTGTAAGAAAGCTTATTACATAAAGAACGCTGCAACATCAATAACCAAAAAGCTTTCTGATTTCATACTATAGACTAAGACAGTAATCACTTACCTTTATGGGTTGGCTACTTTCTTTGTAAAAACACTATTATGATGCAAAGATAGTTCAATAAATGACATGTCAAAAATTAATTGCATCAATAGTATTAGATACTAGGTCACCCCCTGCTTCATAGTATGCAGAGCTAGTATTTGAGACCCATGAGGATGCATTGCAATATCCTGTGTCAGATATCCAGATGTGACATTGGTAAATATCAGAAGTGGCAAAAAGAAAGTAATGAGCATTCATCTGACAAGGGATGAAGTATCTCTTCCTATAAACACCCTAAATTTGAGATGCAATAAGGCAAATTGGACAATTCCAGATTGAAGAGTTTTAGAAACAGTCCCTACAATCGGTTCATGTGAGAGGCTGCACTGTAGCCTTTCCTGAGAGCCCACAGAACTCATGGCGCTTCCATGGGGTTTACAGAGCTTCCCTTGCAGACTCTGCCCTTAAGGTGCTTACAATTTAGTGGGACCGACTCTACAGACTGAAACATTACCCTAAGTATGAAACGCACACTCTGAGTGAGAGCTGATGGGGATGGTGAGGGTAGTCGACAGTATGGGATGTTTGGCTTCCTGGAGACAGGCGTCTGAATGTTGAACATGTAAGGTGGTTGGGAATACAGGGATCCAAACAAGACACTTCCTCATCTGCTACTTCGAGCTTTCTTTACGCTCTGAAGCTGGGGAGAACTGCACAAAAGTTGCGTGGGAAGAGCGCTGAGAGGGAAACAAACTTTTCAGTCCTCTTTCAGCACCTCTGGCCACTGGTGGACTCAGACTGGAGCAGTTACCATTTAGGTATTTTAATAGCAGCTCTTTAACAGCTTTCCTATGACCATCCTGTTAAACAGGTTCAAAGAAAAAAAAAAAAGGTGAAACCAGTTTCTCTGTACCAGTTACACACACGGGTGGGGGACCTTGTAGACCACATTGGGAGCTACTAGATTGGAGGCACATTATAATTTGTTTATGGAGGCAGCACACTGGCAAGTACAAAGGGAAGTGGTTGGAAGCAGAAAGTACCCGTAACATATTACGGATAAACTGTTAATGAGTTGAACAGGGGGACAATCCCTAAGAAAAAACAAGCATGGCAGTAAGGCCTCAGAGAATAACACTGTCAACTCCTTCCCAAATCCAATTATGACCCAAAATGATCTTTTCTGGCTGTGTACTATGTGTGATCTTAGTTCTCTGACCAGAGTTCAAATCTGTGCTCCCTGTAGTGGAAGCTGAGTCCTAATCAGGGACTGAACTGAATCCCCAGAAAGTCCCCCTTTTTGAGTTAAAGAGAAATACCCTCCTGAGTCCAAGTGTTTGGATATTAGCATTATAACAGCCAATTATAAAATCAGTCAAAAGGTAACCATGTACAAAGTTCGGGGGAAAGATGGCTTGGAAGTCTCAAAAATCCGAGGACTAGAAAGATGGGACACTGAAGGAACGATCTGGAAGCCAGGTAACTGGAGACTGAGTGCAATTAACAGCATGTACATTTAAGCAGATTATCAGTTGTTAGAAGAGCAAAAATAGATGAGGAAATCTTGGCTAAGGTCACAGAGTAGCAAGGAATCCATGAGCTATACAAATCAGAAGTTAAGATATGGTCAGGGAAAGGAGGACTCATGCTTGAATAATAGAAATGAAAAGGTTATAAAAGTTTTTCTTCATGAAGAATAAACTTGGAAGAATTGACAGCTTGGAAAAACTAACCTGGAGCAAGCAGCATATTTAGAGCTGCAAAGATTGGGGCAACAACATAAATGATGAGTGCAGGTCTCTGGGAAGAGGTAATCTGAAAGCAAAAGTAGCAGCTGCTAAGTCAACTTTATAAACAGTACATCCTGACACGGACATCCTGAACCAAACTTGTCACTTAAAGAACCTGAGTTTAGCAGACATGTTCAAATTAAATGGTACTGCTAGGTTAAGTCTTGCAGAAAAACCATTAAACCTGTACATTATTGATGTGATAGTTGATATTCACTGTGACACTACAGTTCAGTTGCTTCTGATCACACCAGAATATGGGCTTTATAAATCTTCATTCTTTTCACCTTAATTTAGGAATTAACTGAATACAGTTAGACTATGAATGTGCACTTTGATTTTATTTAAAGGCATATAAAGTTCATTACTCTTATATTTTTAAAAAAGCATACACTTCATTAATGTGTCTGCTAAAAAGAAAAACCATTTTCTCCTTAAATGTTTAAAATGTCATGTGCATGACATGAGGTAAACAACCCATTAGGCCTCAGGAGTTCACAACAGGTAACTTCTCTAATTCAAGCTAAACTGGCCTGTTTACATATAGTTTACCTTCTTAATATAAACAATGAAAGATTCAATTTTGGAAAATCAGAAGGAAAATACAGTGGACCCTTGAATAACATGGGTTCACTTACACGTGGACTTTTTTTCACTGTAATACTGCATGATCTGTGGTTGGCTGAATCCTTGGTTGCAGAACCATCGATGAAGGTCGGCTGTATTCAAGGGCTTAGCTACATAGTATTTACATTGTACCTAACAATTATTTATGTAGCAGCTATACTGTATTAGGTATTACAAGTAATGTAGACAGCTGATTTAAAGTACAGTTGACCTTGAAGTATGTATTTAGTGGGGAAAAATGGCATATAAGTGGGCCTGCAAATTCCATGGTGTTCAAGCGTCAACTGTAATTTCAAAACTCAGACAAGCTTCTGTAAGAATTACTGTTAGTAATTTCTCAAACTACAACAGGAAAAGCTGCATAAATGCTTCTTTGCATTGGCTCACAAATTTAAATGAGTTTCGTAGCATAATTGAAAGCATAGCTCCCTACTGTATGAGTTGAGATCTGGGTCTTATCTAGCCCTTAGCAGCTGTTGTGACCTTGGTCAAGTCACCTCTTGGCAACTCTATCATCTGAAAGGGAGAACTTGGACAGTTCATATCCTGAAATTCAGACTCGCATGGAGCTCCCAACTCTATGCATATGCATTTTGGAAGGAAACTGGGGAAGTTTTCATTAGATTCTCACAGGGGACCTTTGTCCAAAAATAAGCTTGTGCTATGTGTGATCACGTCTAAATCTCTCCAGCTCTAAATGCTAGTGTTTCTTGGTGGTACAGGAGCTCTTAAGGTGGCTCCCAAGATTCCCTGATACACATGCTCTTTATAATTCCATTTACTCAAGTGTTGACAGGATTATTTGAGCATGATGGATATCACTCTGTGACTAGGCCAAAGAGTAGGCTTCCCAGGTAAAGTGGTAAAGAATCCACCTGCCAATGCAGAACATTTGAGAGATGTGGGTTCGATCCCTGGATCAGGAAGATACCCTGAAGGAGGGCATGCAACCTACTGCAGTACTCATGCCTGGACAGAGGAGCCTGGTGGGCTAGAGCCCAGAGTCACAAAGAGTTGGATGCAACTTAGTACACACGCATAGGGTAAAGAGGAAGGGACAGTGCAGCTATAATAATGTACTCACCAGTTTGGCTTTGGGTCAATTAAAGGGGAGATAGGGGGTGGGCCTGATTTAATCAGGTGAGCCCCCTTAAAAGAGAGCTGAGGTTCTTTTCTGAGACTAGCTTCTTCTGCAGGCCCTGACTAATCAAGCTGGTATGAGTCCTGCACTCGTAAGAAAATCACTCTATAAAGTCATTTGGTCTATTATAACCTCACTGGCTTACTTTTAACCAGGTTTTTGTACACTAAGAAACAAGAATTATGCAGAGCACTGTTATGTTTATCTTCTGGTAACTTATGCCATTTGTGTGCACTCTTGCATTTGCAGACATATGCTGAAGCTATAGAAATACTTAAAATATAGCTCAAGTTGTCTCTCTCAGTCCACTTTGCTGAAGGAGTGAAGGAAGGTCAGAATATTGGTTTGGACAGGGAAGAAGCAGAAGCACAGATGGCATCAGCTGAACAAATCCAGTCAGTTGGAATATTAATACATCTATACTGAAACTAAAGGATTTAAGAAATTCCTTTTGTAATGTTGGGTCAGTGTTAAAAGCTTATGAAAGACAAGTGAACACAAGCCACTGAGTTGTACTCTAACTTTACATTAACATATATAAAAAATCCACACAGCACACACACATGCCCCATGTAAAACATTGCTTTGAGTTTTAATGTTTATTTCCCCAAGATAGCCTAGCCTGCACTCTACTTGGATAAATTTTACAAGCTAGTTTTCTGCTGCTTCTAGTTTTAAACTTTAACCATGTTTCTGATGACAAGGAATGCTGCAAAAATACTCTAGTTCAACAAAGAGTTATGATCACAAAATAATTTTTATCCATTCTACAGTGTTTCAGAATTACCAGTTGATTTTTAAACACAAAGTAGATATAGATGCTAATGGTGGCTAATCTGGTATGTTTCTTATAGCAAACTGTTGTTCATGCAACACTTGTGCTCAAAGGGGAAGGCACAGGATTTCCTACAATGAGCCACCTTATAAAGAGTTCTTTTTGTACAAATTAATTTATGTCACATTTAATTTAGTGTGCATAACCTCAAAACTGAGGTATTATTCCAATTTATAAAAACCACTTGCATAACTTTTATGCAAGTTTTAAAAATACAAAGTTTTCTCCCTAAAGTGGCTCAAAATAGATTGTTCATGGCTGCCTACATCTAAGATAAAAAGATTCTAAAACAATTGAACAGATTAGGCATATTATTAAAGGTGTTCAAACCATTACTTGATTTGTACATCTACTCAAACCTCTTCATCGGTCTTTATTCAGCAGTACATATGCACCAAATTCCATTTTAGAAGTTTCCATATCATTTTCATAGAAAACAAAGTTTGAAAACAAGTAACATTTAAACACAGCACGGTATTCCACCACAACTGAAACTTTTTTCTTCTTCTTCTTTACAGGACTCAACAAAATCTAAAAATGAACTAGGCTGCAGATTCGCCTCATGCAAAGATCTTTATGTTGTCTCTGAGAATGAAAAGGAAAAGGACGGCTTTTAAAAGCACATTTTACTGGTTTATACTATTATGGCAACTTGTGTACTGCAACACAGTCTATTTTGAGGGAAATTTATGATTTTTTTTTTTCATGCAAAAATCTACACAAATTAGTTTTGATGATATGGAAAGCTTTTCATAGCATCAAACATTCATCTGGTGCAAATGCACAGGGAAACCTTCCTGAAAGTTTTCTGACTTGAGAAGCAACTAAAAGCCATACTAGGTAAAGTAAATAAAAACTAAAAACAAAATGAGAAGCAACTAAAAGCCATACTAGGTAAAGTAAAAAAAAAAAAAAAAAAAAAAAAAAAACTACCACAAAAAAAAAAAAAAAAAACTAAAAAAAAAAAAAAAAAAAAAAAAAAAAGGAGGGGCGGGAAGAGGGAGGAGGGGAGAGAGAAACACAGGCTGCAGAGTACACCGCCGTCTGCTGCTGAGCTGGTCTCTGTTGGCAGGTCCAGTGTACAGTAACACTTACGATCTCACTCTGATGATTTTACTAGTTTGTTATCAGCCCCCTGAAGGCAAATCAAGCTTGCATGCGTTCACATACAGCACCACAACCATACTCTCGTACACAGTCACTCCAGGACTAGGAGTCTGCTTCATGAATGAAGAGCCCTAGATTTGAAAGATGAACCTGGCTCTCCATCACCGAGCCAGACATTCATTCAACATTGTCCACTCACACACTGCTTCATAGCAAGGCCTGGGCTCGTTTTCCTTTGACTTTTATGGGCATCCTATCTCTTTTATGCTTACAAGGCTTGAAGATGACAGTACTGCACTTTCCCCTCAATTGATACAAAGTCAATGTTCCTTCTCAGGCACTGAAGATCTGTGACCTGTAGCCCTTTTTACTTTGAACAACCTAAATAAGCATCCATGTAGAGTTTTCATTACATTTTGCCACTCATTCTCACTCGCACCCACTCGCCATCTTGACCTCATTTGGGCATTTTCTGTGATTCCAAATGAAATCTTCACATTTTCTTTCCCGATTTAATGCAGCAGCAGATCCCATGAGCCAAGCTTGATGGATCAAACCTTTTTATATATATGTATATATATATATATATCCCAGTGCTGCATTGTACCTAACTTCCACAACATCTTTCTAAAACTGGAACCCTTCTGTTGGTACATTGGCAGATGAATTGAAACCAAATGTTCCACCTTGTATTGCCTCTGGAACAAGGCTAGGATCTTCATCAATCTAAGGGGGAGGGAAAAAAAGAAGGTGATGGTTAGTTTTAAATTATAAAACAGTATTATAGTTAACACTTCTATTTAAAAAGTATCAGAGATTATATGGGTGGCCAACACTGTCCTACCATTCTTTGAGAACCCTGAAACACTTCATAAAGGTTTTTTCCTTAAGGGATGCCAAAAGGGAAGAAACTGAAGAGAATATGCAAATTGGATATCTTCTGAAAGAATGAAAGAGATTGGAGATGGTACTATGACTCAAATTCACAGAGTATACTCATTCTAATGCTACCACTTTTGGAGAATAAGTGTATTCTTCAGTTAATATTTTAATAGCAACTGGAGACAAGTTTTGAGCTTAAAGTAGTAACATAATGGCCGTATTAAAATGGATAACTGATGTTCTTTCTATATGCTTTATATCTAACGGTTGAAATACCACAAAATTATGTGCCTATGGTGTAGTTCCCATAGAGGAACATCATCTTCATTATTCTTTTCACAATGTAACAGAGTAAGTAAGACCTGCATGTTGAAGTATTAAAAATCATTAAGGCTTTGTGTATACCTAATTATCAATTAGGACTTCTAAAAATATCCAACTTTAATACATGATAAAAGCTACTTTTAAAAAAGCATGCTTTTAAACAAATATTATATTCTAAATAGGACTTAGCTTGATAATCTGTAGGTATAAATAGTCTAATTCTTTTTTAGTATTGTCTTTGTCAAGTTAATCTACAAATCATATATGGTTAACAAAATATTTAATAATATTCCATTTTCTTTTTTAAAAAGTTGAGAAAATCAATCAAGAAATGCACTGCTGGCTATATCTGATCACTATAATTTTAGATTTAACATAACTACCATATATTGACAATCTGAAAACATTCTTCTATAGTATATATTATACAGTAACTTAAGTTTCTTAGTGATTTTTTTTCACTGTACTTGTTTATCTTCATATTTGTTTTTGGTCACCAACTAAAATTAATGGTGGCAATATATTCAAGTACAGATTAACTGATTATTGCCATAATGGATTCATTATAGGATATACTAGCTTCACTATTTTGTTTATAAACACATTAGGCTATCAGCAATATAAAATATGATAACTATAGAGACATCAAGGGAAAATAAAGCCTAATTTATTCACTGTCAAAAAAATTCTCATCTTTTTTTGCCATTTGAGCTAATACTACTTTTTAATAACCCAAAGGACTTTAAAATACTAAAATATTGTTATCTAATTTCAATTCCATTCCTCTAAAATACATACATATACATCCTAGCTTAAATTTCATCCAGACTTATGCTTATTAAGTAAAACTAAGAAAATGATAAGATTATTAAATACATCATCTGAAGAGAAGAACTGATCAATGATCTCATAGGCCAATTTGTAGATGTCTTCATTTTCATGATTTTGAAGCTGTTCAATTTTCTCCAGTCCTGTAAGAAATTTTATGAAGTGAAATAATAATAATATTAAAACAACACAACAACAACACAGTGGCAAAAGGGTTACAATAATCTTGGGAACACATAATTGAATTTTGGGTTATCTATTCTAAAGGTTAATCTTAAAAACAGTAAGGTTTTATTCACAACATAAACACAGCATATTTATCTTAAAAAATTATCTGAGGGACTTCCCTGGTAGTTAAAACTCTGCACGTGCAATGCAAGCAGCACCGATTCAATTCCTGGTCAGGGAACTAAAATTCTATATGCCACGTGGCACACTGCAGTCAAAAAAAAAAAAAGAAAAAAGAAAAAAAAAAGCCCAAACACCTGAGTGTTTAACTACATATAAATTAAGCAACGGGACATCTGTCTATTCAGAAGAAAATGACGTTTCATACGCCAGTGTCTGTAAGGAGTAACAGCATGTGAAACTGCCCTGTTAAAGCTGGGGGTCCCTGGCAGCGCAGTGGCTAGGATTCTGGGCTTTCACTGTCATGTGGCTCGGTTTCAATCCTGGTTGAAACCGAGGATCCCATGAGCCATGTGGCATGGCTAAAGAAAAAAACCCCAAATACCCCAAAACAAACAGTAAAACCCAAATGTGCAAGTAAAAAAAGTTAAAAGCAAGTTCTTCCTATTTTGTAGCATTTGCCAAATTTTTCTAGTCATCATGTAAGAAAAAACTTTTAAGTACTCATGATTAACAAATATGAATGTTAAGACAGCTATTAAGTATAATGAAAAATGATCATGATCAACAACTGTGTTTCAGGGGAAAGAGGATTTTCCCCTGTAAATACTAACAAATGTATTAAACCATAAGTGAAATATGTAAACAATCTATTGATATAAAAATTGAATACTGTTTTGCTCTGTAGTGGTTTAGTCACTAAGTCATGTTTGATTCTTGCAACCCCGTGGACTGTAGCCCACCAGGCTCCTCTGTCCATGGGATTCTCCAGGCAGGAATACTGGAGTGGATTGCCATTCCATTCTCCAGGAGATCTTCCTGACCCAGGGATTGAACCCTTGTCTCCCGGAGGTGGTCTCCTGCATTGCAGGCGGATTCTTCACCAACTGAGCCACCAGGGAAGCCTAATAGGAGTAATCATTAATTTTAAAATCTCTGAATTAAAGTGAAATTTCCCTTTCATGAGTATTTGTACTCTATTTCTTAAGTGGAGGAAATTGTTTTGGGCATATTTCTCACTTTACACACTCTCCTTATGGGGTCTTTCCATGAAAAGGTTTAACTACTATTTACATATAGGCTGAAGACTTGTACTCATCTATGACTTCATTTTTCTGAGCTTCAGATGCTTAAAACTTTAAACCTGCTTGATAATTCCATGAGGACATTTTATAAGTACCTAAAGTTCAAGCTGTTAAAAAACAATGTTATCTGCCATTCTTCATTTACACTGTTTATTTTACTGTATTCTTACTGGTGATAATCAACAACAGTTTGAAATCTGAGAGAAAGACTGATTATTAAAGTTCCCCTTTCCCTCAATACTCTATAACAAAATCTCAAAAACCTCAAAGCCTATCCTATTCATTTCTTCAATCTTGTCATTTCCCCTTCGTCTCTATTATCACTGCCTTCATTTATTGTGGTGTGATCACTATATACTTTCCTAAGTGGTTTCCTGCCAGGCTCTATCAGGGTTCCATTCCCCTCATATCCATGCTCCATTTAAACATACCAATTCCCTTGGTAAAATCTTCCAATGACTTGTCGTTCCCTATGGCAGAGGATCCTTTGGGAAATCTGTAAGCTAGGTTTTACTTCCAGTGAAATAGGCAATGCTCAAGATCTATATTTTTATATTAATATTTAAAAATAAAATTTTAATTATTAAAAGGTTTATATGGTAAAAGAAAAAAATACAAAAGTAGGAAAAAAATTAACTATTCCTTTTAAATTCTTTAAGTTTTAAATTTTTCTGGAACTCACTTCCTAATTAGTTTCCTAACAGTATTTCCCATTTCCTGTTCCCAACCTGACAGTTATGAATTTTGTTGTTGTTGTTCTACCTGTCACTTTGTATGCTGTGTATCACTTAAGTAACTTTGAAAACACACACTTCCTATTAATTTTCAAGTCTCCAAATTCTATTAAGTAAGTTGAAGATACTGGTTCCCCTATTCTTAGCTACCTCTCCTTTCACTTCTATCAGAAACAGCTTCACTTTTATGCTTACCTAGGTTGGTGACATTTTGCTCCACACCCACCTCAGAAACTCCCATGTTCAGTCTAGATGTTCACCTTGAGAGCTGAAATCTAAGGCATGCTGCGTGCCGTCCTGGCGGCGCTGGTACACCGCCAGACTTGGGAACCACTGCCTTAGGGTATCTGCTGTGCTGCAAAGCTTCTAAGACTAGGGGCCTGATCGATGGCTAACTCCACAGTCTCATCGTTTGTGGTTTCTACCTCATACTTTGTGATTTAGCAACACTGAACTACTTATAATTTGCTGAATGCTATTTCTCACCTCAGACTTTGCTCATGGTGTTATCTCTGCTGGAACACTTTTCATCCCTTTTCACTTTATTAATCCTTATTCATCTCTCAAAATCCAGCTCAGGTCACTTCCTACTTCTTCCAGGACAGATTAGGTATTTCACTTAGTTGCACATTTCTATTAGGGTAATCAGCACATTAAATCAGTTCATGTTTATCTCCATGATTAGACTACATGCCTTCAGGGCAAGGACTGTGTGTTGTTTACCACTGTCTTCCCAGTACCTTTAGCACAGTGCCTGTTCAATGTGGCAGCAATTCAGTTACCTAAACATATGCAGGAAGCTGAGCAGGACTGTACATATAGAATATAGTATTTATTTGATTCTATTACTTGATTAAGACAGAAAAATATAGAAGTGTTGCATTTGAAAATAAAAGTAGTTACAAAAAGAACATTAAAATGTGGGATAACAGCATATAATAAACTCACCTCCACATTCTTCTATAAGATTGGCTATGGTTTCGGCCTCATCCTCAGCCATTTTTAATATATTACTTAGCCCATCGAGCACTACTTGCACAACTTGTGCGTCTTTTACAGTCAGCAAGTTGCAAAAAGGTGGGATAACATTTTGTTGGATTAGGTAGGCCACCTGAAGAAGAAAAACAACATGATATAATAAATGTTCAGTGAATTTCATTTGTGCACCCTGTTATCTCACTGGAATAATTTTGACTTCATAATCTTGAATTTGGAAATATGACCTCATTTCTCACATGTTAAGTTAGCCTACATTAAACTAAACTTCTTTTCTTTTTAATGCAGTATGTTTATTTTTCATGAACTTAAGAGAAAAGGAAAACTAAAGTGAAAATGAAGGAATCACTCAAGTTCATATGACACATTTCTTTGCCATGAGTACTTCCTTCAGAGATCCTTTCTCTTTTAATATTAAATTATGAAGTCAGTTAAGAGGGCAGATAATTATTATTTTTTTTAAACTATAATTGTTCAATGTGACAGCATCCTCTCTTGGCTTTAACATTAGCACTCTCATACCTGGCCACCTCTCAATCTGCTATTCTATGGTTCCATAAAATTTGCAAATTTTCTATCTTCATTATATTTTATTAGTTACTGCCATGCAATATATTTATATTCTGCTCTATATTCATATTTGAGTGGATTCAATCTATGGCTTATCTGTGAAAATTATGTGCTCCAAATTTGCCCCTTTTTACTTGTCTGTGAAATGTATCTGGGATTGGGACCTTCCTGGCAGTCTAGAAGCTAAGACTCCGTGCTGCCAATGCAGGAGGCAAGGGTGTACAGGCCCTGGTCCAGGAACTGGGATCCCACATGCTGTGCAGTGTGGCCAGAAGATAAAAAATAAATAAAACTCATTTTCTTTTGCCAGTTGGCACAATGTTAAGCTCTGTTACCTGCGCAACTCTGAGTGTTGCTTTAAATTTTATGCCCTAGGCATCTCACACTGTTCACCCTAGTTCCTAGTCCCAGCTTTTAAGTTGAATTTAGTTCCTTGCTTGGCTTACTGTCAGATAATTTTTGTTGCCCTATTAGCCTAAAAAGTCTTGTTTTTTCCTTAACATTAAAAAAACAAAAACAACCCTGACGATATAAGTGCTTCATCTTACCCTGGATTAGAAAAATTCTTGTAGGCCAAGAAGCTGGAAAGAGAACACTTCACATCTACAAAATATAACTAAAGGAAGTCAAGGTGACACTTTATATATCACAGGATGTGTATTATCTTGCTACTATCTTAAATTATGATTTACTGAAATACAAATCTTAGAATTGTTAGTACTGTTACTTATCAGTTTTAAGAAATATATAAGAGCTGAACTTACTTGATCTTTTCTTCCACTAATTGTTAAGTTACTTATGGCCCACGCAGCTTCTTTCTGAGTGCCAAAATCTCCCTATAAAAGCAAGTAAACGATATAAACTGTAATATAAGATAAACTGGAAAAGGTGTTTCCTGAAATTTTTCAACTGCATACTCCCCTCCTGGTTTTCTTCTAGTCTTTACGTATTCATATAATAAAGATAAGGCTTTGAACCCAATTTAACCTAACCAAATGGAGATTCTATTTTGTGAACCTTCCCAACAACAAACTGACTTGATATTGCTGTTCATAATATCAAATGAAGTCAATGATAAAATACAATAAAATCAGCTAAAAAAAAAAAGGAAGTTACAATTTTACTTTAGTCAAAGTAATGTCAAAGTAAAATAAAGTATCTTTTTAAACACATAGTTTTAAAAATAAAAATACCCATCATTAATGAGACTGTGAGAAAGACTACTCTTATAAAGGTTACTCTCACAAAAATTAAAAAATAAATTTAAAAATCATTTAAAAAGTCATATATTTGATTTAATAATCTCTCATCTTTGAGAGTTAACCAAGAAAATTTAAAAACTGCAATGGATTAATACTAAACACTGTAAATCAACCATATTAAAAAAAAAAAAAAGCTGCAGTAGGATATCTACTTTTACTAGATTGAGAAAACCCAAGTATCTGTTAGTAAGACTGATAGGAGTGTAAAACAGTACATAACCTTTCTAGCAATAAATGGGCATGATACAGCAAATTTATACCTATGTCTATTTGTGGATCCAGTGATCCTAAATATAACCTGGCACGTGGAAAAAACTTTACATAGACATTTGCTTGTATTTAAGGAAGAAACAATAGAAGAATAACCCCAAAATTAAGGGAAAGAATAGGGAAGAACAGACGGAAACAGAAGTTAGACCTTTGTGTATTACCTTGAAAACAAGGTACTTATTTTTTACTTGGAAACTCTAAATGCTTCACATAACCAAAAACAAAATAAACAAGGGAATTTCCCAGTAGTCCAATGGTTAGGTCTCTACACTCTCACTGCTGAGGGTCTGACTGCGGAACTGAGAAACCATAAGCCTCTTGGCATGTGCAAAAATAAAGAAAAATAAAACCCCCAAACTGAAGCAATTCCCCCAAATAAAAAACACACAGAAACAAAAAACTGTATATGAAGCTGGTGGCTTAACTATACATATAGAAATTATTTCAAGTGACATTATTTTTAAGTACATCATTGATAGAATATATCCTAAAGACAAAAAAATCCTCAAGGAAATCCCAAAAGTGGAGTAGTTATGTTGTTTGCATCAATGTGGTCTTATTATTTTGACAGATTTTATATTATATACCTCAATATATATCAAGTAATATGTCTACAGAAAGATTTCCAGCATAGATGAGATAAAAATACAAAATCAAATAAGTGAAAATAAAATAGTTATCTTACTCAGTGATATCTGATAGCTTTCTTTCATTTATGATTTGTTTTTATGAATTTTCATGTCTACAAAAATTACAATATGTATATCTTTAATTTTCTTAAAGAAAAAATTACCTATTTTATTCATTCAAGCCTTGATACCATGACAATCTTGTAGCAATGATCATCCTTAGTATCTGAACTATGACCTTTAAATACCACTTGCTACAAAAAGGAACCAAGACACCCTGAAAATAGTTAATTATAGGTCTAGGTCAGAAAATATACAAAAAAAAAAAAAAAAAGAAGCCCAGGAATCATGTCATATTCAAAAAGTAGGAAGCTCTCAAAAAATACTCGGGTGATGTTAAAAAGACGGGCACCCGGGCACCAAACTTAAAAGAGATTCCCATTGGTCAGGGACAACCTGAGCATCAGAAAGAATAACTACAAAGGACTGAAACTTATAATAAAAATAGACAAATGTAAATCCACAATTTCCTAATGACACTGAAAACTTTGCACTAGTCTCCTTTTGAGGTTGTTATGGAACAATGTCATTCTAAAAACTGAGTGATAATAAGCAGGAATCAAACATTTATCTTGCTTTTTCTATATGAAATGTATTTCAGAGTAAACAAACAGCTGATAAGGAAACACTCTTTAATCTTCTTTACTGAAGAATCACGCCTAATACATAAAGAATTACAAACTCATCATTTTGCAGTTCCTAGTAAAATAAGGGATCTAGGTAACATTCATCTTGATTGCTTAAAAACCACTAAGTGAAAGAATGGTGAATAACATTAAAATAATGGGTGGAATGGTCTGGTAACACCTGAGCTCACTTATCAATCTATATTATCACTAAATGTAGCAGAAACAGAATATATCTCCCCATGTGAATCATTAGAGCATTAAATATTTTTCCCTAAACACTGAACCCAATCTAGCAGTTTATAAGAAACATGGAGGAAAAGAGGAAAGAGATAACTCTCTTTAATGAACAGATCATTGGTCAGGAAAAAACCCATATGCTGTGATTGTGACATTTTATTTTTTGATTGTGACATTTTAAACTGTGTCTTCCCCAAACGTTCATGTAAGCATGTGATGACATGGCATATGACTAAATAGCACAATTACTTGCTGTTTGATCTTGGGCAGTTAATTGGTCTATACTACAGTTTCTTCATCTGTCAAATGGGAATAATTCTTGACCCTTTCAGAGTTACAGTATTAAATAAGGTAATATATGTAAAGTGCATGGAACAATAATCAAGCATATATAATTTTTAATAAATTCCAAGATAATGGTAATTTTGATAAAAGAATGATAAGAAAAAGGGCCAGTGGTTTCTAAAAAGAAATGTTTCATGTATATAAAAACTGCTTGAAAGTTTTAATATTAATACTACTTTACTACTTATGCCACTATATTGATTCTAATTAAACAGAAAAATATATATTCACATAATTAGTTATATTAAGTTCTTTTCCTCTTACACAGATACTAACAAGATGACCTTCTTACCTTATCCAAAAGGTGTATTATCATTGGTACAAGATTGGCATCAATTACTGCCTGAACTTGCTGCTGATTTCCTGCAGTGATGTTAGAGAGGAACCACACTGCTTCCTGTAGAAAAAAACTCCTTTAATATTTCTTACTAAAAAATAAAATCTGCAGCTGAACTAGGAAAAAGCATTCACTACCATGACCAAATGATTTTTACTATGGAATTAGTTCCATAATAAAAAATTTCAGAATCTGTATTTCCCTGTTCCCCTTTCTGTATTTTTCCCTGGACAAATTGCTAATGAAATAAACTAACCCTCTAAAAACTTCTTGAAAACGTTCTAAGCACTAAGACTATAAAGAAGCTTGGCTAACAAATACTAAGGAATTGATGAACTGTAACAACCCAGCGGAGGTGATGGAGTTCCAGCTGAGCTTTTCAAATCCTAAAAGATGATGCTGTGAAAGTGCTGTACTCAACATGCCAGCAAATTTGGAAAACTCAGCAGTGGCCACAGGACTGGAAAAGGGCAGTTTTCATTCCAATCCCAAAGAGAGGCAATGCCAAAGAATGCTCAAACTACTGCACAACTGCACTCATTTCATACTCTAGTAATGTAATGCTCAAAATTCTCCGAGCCAGGCTTCATCAGTACGTGAACCGTGAACTTCTGATGTTCAAGCTGGTTTTAGAAAAGGCAGAGGAACCAGAGATCAAATTGCCAACATCCGTTGGATTATTGAAAAAGCAGGAGAGTTCCAGAAAAACCATCTACTTCTGCTTTATTGACTATGCCAAAGCCTTTTGACTGTGTGGGTCAAAACAAACTGGAAAATCCATCAAGAGATGGGAATACCAGACCACCTGACCTGCCTCCTGAGAAATCTGTATGCAGGTCAGGAAGCAACAGTTAGAACTGGACATGGAACAACTGACTGGTTTCAAATCGGGAAAGGAGCACAACAAAGCTGTATATTGTCACCCTGCTTATTTAACTTATATGCAGAAATTCTGGACTGAATGAAGCACAAACTGGAATCAAGATTGCCGGGAGAAATATCAATAACCTCAGATATGCAGACGACACCACCCTTATGGCAGAAAGTGAAGAACCAAAGAGCCTCTTGATGAAAGTAAAAGAGGAGAGTGAAAAAGCTGGCTCAAAACTCAACATTCAGAAAACTGGTCCCTTCACTTCATGGCAAATAGCTGGGGAAACAGTGGAAGACTTCTTTTTTGGGGCTCTAAAATCACTACAGATGGTGAATGCAGCCATGAAATTAAAAGACACTTGCTCCTTGGAAGAAAAGTTATGACCAACCCAAACAGTATATTAAAAAGCAGAGACATTACTTTGCCAACAAAGGTCTGTCTAGTCAAAGCTATGGTTTTTCTAGTAGTCATGTATAGATGTGAGAGTTGGACTATAAAGAAAGCTGAGTGCTGAAAAATTGATGCTTTTGAACTGGTGTTGGAGAAGACTCTTGAGAGTCCCTTGGATTGCAAAGAGATCCAACCAGCCCATCCTAAAGGAAATCAGTTCTGAATATTCACTGGAAGGACTGATGCTGAAGCTGGAACTTCAATACTTTGGCCACCTGATGCGAAGAACTGACTCACTGGAAAAGACCCTGATGCTAGAAAGATTGAAGGTGGGAGAAAAAGGGACGACAAATGATGAGATGGCTGGATGGCATCACCAACTCAATGGACGAGTTTGAGTAGACTCTAGGAGTTGATGATGGACAGGGAGGCCTGGCATGCTGCATTTAATGGGGTCGCAAAGAGTCAGACATGACGGAGCAACTGAACTGAATACAAACACAAATCTTATTTATTCCCTCTTCTATTCTGATCAAGAGTCCTAGCCAAAACAGATGAGTATCTCAATTATTCATGATGATGGAAACACACAAAAATGAAACAATGGATTGTTTTTGTATACTTATTTGTAATATTCATTCACTGCACCATCTCTTGCAAAGATAAAACAGAATCAGATGTCCAACTGCTTTACTGGTCTACCTCAATGATCTTTTTATGCTACCCTTTATACCATGATGGTGCTACTGCTACCAAGATGATTACAAGTCACTTTTCCTTATAGAAAATAAAAGTCACTTGAAAACACAGAATGAAATGAGACAAAATATCTGCCTAGTGTCCTATGTAGGATATTAGTATAATTTACAAACTTAATAAACTTATTAAACATATGAATTTACTAAAGGAAACATTTTCTCTCTTTTAAAAAACAAGTAAACAAGTTTTACTCCTAATGTGCAGAAGGCTCTTTTGGATCAGATCACAGGATCACGTTCAATGAACCTGTCAGAGATTTTAGGGTGCCAGGCTACTTAGGTGAGCTGCTCCCGGGCTATAATCATCGGCAGTGTTGTAATCAACAACCCATGTGCTTCTACAACAGCCTCAGATGCACTCCAGTATCAGCACCACCAGTCAGCGCCCCCTCTTCATAGCCTCCACAAGCACACACACACACACGCGCACACACACACTATCAGTTAAAAAATATTAAACTTAAGATTACTAAACTTAGATATTAAAATTTTCTAATCATACAACATTTAACACCCAATTATCTCTATTTCATCATTTCCAGGAGAGCCAAGTTTGCACTGTTTGCAACTGGTTTATTGTAAAAATGGAAAATCATGTACCAGTCCATATCATAAAGAGTAAAATATCTTACTTTCTCTTAATGTCTAAATGACAACTTATATTAACAATAAATATTAAAGATACTCAACCCCCTAATTTCATAAATGAAAATGGTTTCTTCACATGCTATTAAACAGTATTTAAAAATACTTACTTTATTAATTTTCTCTTTGGGATGTGTCAGAAGTGCAGGGAAGTGTGAAAGAGCATCACAGTTTAAAACTACTTGTGTTTGCTCATCAGTTCCAGTAACAATATTGCCTACAGCTCGAAGTGCTGCTGTCTGAAACATAAAAATATTTAATAATATGTTGTTCTATAGGAATCACTCCTTATACACAAAGGTGTATTAGGCAGGCTATGAGAAGTATCTTCATTCATTCATGGCAACCTGTATTTTTGAGCAAGTTGTGTCAGACAGAGGAGTGAATAGGACAGATACAACCTCAGTTCTTAGGGAGCCTCCGTTACTGTAAGAGGAAACGGTCAATAAACAAGTAAGTATGAAGGATAACTTTAGATAACAATTATGACTATACAGAAAATAAGATAATACAAAAGTTTTTGTGTGAACACGTTTTCAGTTTTCTTGGGTATACACCTGGGTGTGGAATTCCTGGGTCATATAATAACTCTTATTTTTCCAGGTACTGTCAAATTATATTCCAAAGAGGCCATACCATGTTACATTCTTACCAGTAATGTATGAGGATCATACTTTCTTTACATTCTTGCCAACACGTTACTGTCTCTTTGATTATAGCCATCCTGGTATGTATAAAGTGGTACTTCACTGTGGCTTTGATTTACACTGCCTTAGTGACGAATGATGTTGAACATCTTACGTGCTTACTGCCCATCTGTATATCTTCTTTGGAAAACAACAATTTTTAAAAACCATTTAGAATTGGGTTGCCATTTTTTGTTGGGTTTTAAAAGTTCTTTATATAGTCTGGACACAAATCCTATTTCATATATGATTTGTGAATATCCCCTTCCACTGTGTGGGCTGTCTTTTCACTTTCTTGATGGTCTCTTTAGAAGTTTCAAATTTTGGAAGTCCAATTTTTTTTTTGGCCATTTTTTTCTTTGGCTTCTTGCACTGTCAAATCTAAGAAACTACTAATTCAAGGTTACGAAGATTTATGCCTTCTAAGAGGTTTATATGTCCAGATGTTTCATAATAGCTGTTTGATTCATTTTTGAGTTTATTTTTAAAAAATATGGTGTGAAATAGGTATCCAACTTCATTCCTTTATATATGGATATCCAGTAGCCTCAGCACCACTTGTTGAAAAGATTGTTTTTGCTCATTGAATTTTCTTGGCACCCTTGTTGAAAATCAATTGATCACAAATGTATGAGTTTCTTTCTGGACTCTTGATTCTATTTCATTGATCTGTATGTCTATCCTTATACAAAAATCACAACATTTTGTTTTCTCTAGCTTTGTAGTCAGGTTTTGAAGTGAGAAGTCCCCAAACTTGATTCATTTTTCAAGACTGTTTCAGCTGTTTCTGGGTCCACTGTATTTTCAATATGGATTTTAACAAGAACTGCATTTCATCTGTAGATAATTTTGGGAACCACTGCCATCCTAATACTGAATCTTCCAATCCACAAACATAGGTATCTTTCTACTTATTTAGGTCTTATTTCTTTCAAAAATGTTTTATAGTGAGCCAGTTTCTTCAACAAATAAATTTAATAAGCTAAAGAAAAAAGGAAGAGTAACAGAAACATAAGAACACAACTACTAAATGTAATGTGATGACCTTGTTTGAATACCTACTGATTTTGTCAAGTTGTGGAAAAAAATGAGGCAAAAAGTAAAATTCAGATACTGACTGGATTTTAATGATTATTTCTAAAGTGCTCTGGGTACTGTGAATGTTAAAAAAATAGGCTTACTTCTTACAGATGCAAGCTGGATGAAATTATACAATATCTGGGATTTGTGTCTAAGTAATCTGGAGGGCAAGTAGAAATATACAGGAAACCTACATAGTTCATTATTCTTTCTACATGCCAAAGTTATGGCATGAAAAATTTTTAAAGTTTTAAAAAATCTGTATTAGTTATCAGGTAAGGTATATAACATTAAATTTCTTTGAGACCTGGCTAAAGTAAAGGTCTCAGCCCTATTTTCTCAAAGTCCAGTATTAAAAGTGAAGATGCATTCAGAAAAAACAAAAACAAAATGCAAACCAAAAACCTATACCAAGACTTAAGTACCACACTTAAGAAATGCAAACTTCATGATAAGAATTTAGTAGGAATATTTAAAATAGACTAGAAATACCCCTAAATGACAAAGTATTCTATTAATCAATTATTTCTGAATTTAGCTAAGTGTTCCTTCTTTTCTTTCAAGTGCTTTCAATTTTAGAGATGGGTTTTCATTTTGACAGCATAGTAATAACCTAAAGAGCTTTTTAAAGCCCAGATTTCTAGGAAATATAGCAGATTTACTGAAACAAATTCTAAAAGCTGGGCAAGGGAAACCAATTTTTTTCTTTAAACTTCACACACCTGATTTTATCATCTAGCCAAGGTTGATAAAGTGAATCTGGTTAACAGTTTTCCTTATGCTATTATTGCAGTTTACAAGTTCTTTGCCATTCTATGATTAAAGCACGCTATTTACCTAAGGAGGACAGGCAGAGCTTGTGGCACCTCCCTTTACCACCATAGTTTGACAGTTAGTGCTTGTAACTGTGTGAACTTTTCACCTTCTCTTTATTTGCTCTTTCTAGATGTAGGTTCCTTGGGATACTTCTACAGAAAGATTTTAAAATAATACAATAAAACAAAAATCAAAGAAAACGATTTTAAACAACTGGAAGAATACAAGTCAGGAAGCCCCCAAGCAGCACATTTCAGTACAAAGTCTTTATCACAGTGCCAGTGATGCTGAGCATTATCTAAACTTGCCAGGTGCAGTGAAGAAGAGTAAAAAAGGACAGCTGTAGAGGAAAAAAAGAGTAGGAGAGTGAAAGAAGAAAAATAGGGAAAGTAGGAAAAATAAAATCATCAATACTTGTTTCAGATGCTACCTAAGTTGCTTTAAGAACTGCCCTGCTCTACGTTAGAGATCAGTAATTTACAAAGAAGTCAACTGGGCTTTTTTTTTTCTGAAGGAAAAGGGATATTCTTGTAGTAATCATACCTGATTTTCTCCTTCTTTAAAATGGGGATATAATAACTCACTCTTTTCCATCACAGATATGTTTTATTAGACTAAAAAATACTTTATAAACTATTGATATTATCCATATTTGAATGTCATGTTTAAAGCAGACAGTAGCATGTTTTTATTAATAAAAAACTCACCTGCACTTTAACTTCCTGGTGGCTGAGGAGAGGAACCAAATGAGGGACTATTCCAGAGTCTATTACCATTTGTATCTGTTCGTTGCCAGCATCAGTAAGGTAAGAGAGGGCCCAGACTGTATCTACCAATATCTAATGAATAAAAAAAATTCAGATAATCCTTGAATACTTTCTCATTTCAAAAATTGTTAACCATATGGACTAGCCTCTGATTGTTCCACCATCTTCTTTCTTCTGTTTGCTCTCACTTAAAATCACTGGAATGTTAGTCTTCTCTATGATACTAAGCATAATCAACTATGAATGTCTGTATCAAGTATGTTCATGTTCCAGTCATATTTAGGATATTGAGGTTAATTATGATCCCAATCACAGATCGATAGCCACTCCTCAAAGATACAAATATACAAATATTTTATGTAGCACATAAAATATGAGGAAAGGACATTCTCTTTCCCAAATGCTCAGATTGAGGGATAACAGGCCCAAGGACATTGTGATAAATGCATTTAGGTGGAAAGAGTGTATGTATCCAACATTATATGTATACGTATTCACAATAAAAACATCTGGGGTAGGTGAATACACTCAAGCTGTTCTCACAGCAGTACCATGCTGGCTGGTCCAAAGCCAACAGTCCAGTAGTGGGATTACAGTACTTTCATCTTTTCCAACCAGTCTGCTTTGCTCTGTAAAGCTAGAGGCAACTACCCAAACAGCAGAAGTCTCTGACAGCTACAGATAAAGACATTAAAAGCAACCACAGGTCAATCTGTGAGATCTATAATCAAAAAACATGTTCTGGTTTAAAAAAACAAAACAATGAACCAACCAACCAAACTACAATTTACATCAGCTGCCAAAACTACTTTTTTCAAAAAAGCTCATGTAATTAACTTACTATGATTATATTTCAAAGTACAACAGGCCACTGTGTTTCATCTTTGTATGTTAAGTCCTAATTAGAAGTTATGGCAAAACAAAGTATGACAAACAACTGTTAAGTTGCTAAATAATGCAATTATTGACAAAGACACAGTAATAAATAATTATGCCTGAAACTTTACTTTCAAAGCCTTTCTAGAATATGAACTCTATGTCAAAAGACAAGCCAAACAAGTCTGAAATCTGTAAGTTCTAAATCAATGTATATTTATAACATCCAAGAAGCCTCTAGAAGAAAACAGCACTTTGTCATTTTTCCTTTCAGGAATTCAAGAAAGCACTATGGATATTTTTTAATGTAAAAATAAGACATTGAATGAAAAAATTCACATATATAATGAAGTATCAAAACATGTGAGACAACTAAATTTCAACTTACAAAAGTAACTTCATATGCACTTTTTGTGTCAGCAAAGTTAAGTCTATGGATAAGTTTACTAATTACAACTCTAGTGTAATTTCAATATTTCACTTATGGTTTGTGGAAACAGTTTCGTTATTTTAGTTATTTTTACTTCTTTGATGGCCTGATTTCTAAGTGTTAACCTAAGAAGATTTTATTTTTAGTAAACATTATTATTTAGCAAACAATATTACTAATGCTAGTAAAAAAAGAACAATGCAAACTGGCTTGGGAAGTTCAAGATAACATCAAGAGCAAGAAAAACGGAGTTACAATCTCAAATGGACTAGAGTAAACAAGTGGAAAGAACACAATACAGCTCTGAATAAGGTCAACCAAGATGTCTGGTTTTTCCAGTAGACTTATAAACTTTGAGATTAATCTTTCTTGGAAATCTTTTAAAATATGAAAAATTTGACTATAAAAAGCCAAAACCAAAATTTGCTTACATGTGTGTTTTCTGTTTTCTTTTAAAGATCTTAGACTATGTGGAGCTATAAAAAATATCTTTAGAGCAAAGATCATGTTACTCTATGTATGTCAAACACATAATATAATTCTAACTTAATGCAGTATAATTTGAAGTTTAAGTTGTTCCATATCTTTAGAGAGATCTTGGCAAAAAGGTATTACTACCTAAGAAACTGAAGAAATGAAGCAGTTTGTCACACACTGATCATACCAAACTGTGTTTTTGAAGAACTACACAAGTTTCTGATGGATGCTATGTGTTTTGTCCATGTGATTTCCTTTTACCCATAAATTTCTAGCTCCTCTAACACAGGAAGGCTAAACTGACTTTATAAGCAGTTAGAGCTGTTTCCTACTTATTCATTCCTCCTGAGTTGCTTTTTCCTTTGCTCTCTGTGTTAGAAAGAATGAGTAGGATATATTTATTATGTTTAAAATCTGGTTTACACTGATTTTTCCCCCCTGTTGTTTGGATACTCAAGAATTATCTTTATACCAAGTGAGACCATTAGCAAAGTCACTATAAATGAATTAATAGAGTAATAATGAAATTAAAGAGCAACTGATGTTTATGGTTCGGTGTGAGAATGGTGTGTGAATGCAAATGCATGCATTAAGGCACATATGCTTTTTTTTAACCTTTCAAAAAATAACACCACTAGGTGTATGTGTTCTTTCACTGGCCAGCTGTCAAAATGAGCTTTCATAAAGCGATTATGAACAGTCAAATATATAATCTTAGCGAGAGCTTACTAACTGGCAACTTTAACAACTTCCAATGTAAGTTTTTGCAACACAAATACATAATATATGCACATACATTACTGCCCAGACCAAAATAACAGGCTTGATTTCACTTGGAATTTACATTTTGTGATATGGGTAAACACAGAGTAAATATAAAAATACCAAACTATGTGTAACAGCTCTTGAACTAGGGTGAAGCCTTAAATATACATACACATAAAAATATATGATGGGAAGCATTTACTCACATTTACGTCAGTGTGATGAATTAAAACACAAAGAGCTGGAAGAATCTAAAGAGGGAGAAATATATAGATTTTTAAATATACATAGATAAAAATATACACATAATAATATCTATTTTAGTTTAAAAAAAAAACAAACACAAAACACTTGTTACCTCCTGAATGGTTTCCATTGGGGGTGGTGGGTCTTTGTGGCGACATAAGTTGACCATAACCCAAGTAACATTTCTTAAGAATGTTATAGGAATAGATGGACTTATGAAGGAAAGTAAAGGTTTCACAACTCCAAGACTTATGACATAATCTCTACACTGTGGCCCATCACCTGTAGGAAGGAAGATTTATTAGTACAATAAGTAATTCAGAAAACATAAAGCACTGGGTTCAATATGCTGCCTATTGTACTTGAACCATATACACTATTTTGATATATGCAACAGTTGAAGACAATAATAACCTAGCTCACATTTTGGGTCTTTGAGTCAAGAGATGTAACGTAAGGTACCAAGACTTCCTTTGTACATTATTCATGTATTCAAGTTTATATGCTGCTCACCTAGAAAATGCTTTTTTGCCATCTAAATGCCAGAAGCCTAAATAAGGTTTTCAAGTACTTGGTGAATAGAGAATTGTTACTTTTTGTCTTCTCTCTCAATGGTACTCAAAGTTTAAGAAAACTTCATGTTATAAAAAGAAATACATGGGAATACCATTACAGAGAAAAATATCTAGAATTTATACTGACGACCTGATGTCAAAGCAGAGAGAGTATTAACTATAAATTACTCTATGGACTTATAAACTATGTCTACAGTATTTGAAGATAAAATGTTTGTTCTTTTTGTATCCATTTATTCTACAGTGTCACTGGAATTAAAAACCAAAGATCAAGATGTGGTATTAATAGTTATAAATCTAAAATTTGATATAAAGTAAGGACTCTGGATACACAAATGATAGCATTCCTAACAGCAATATATTGTATACCAAGAACGGTTTATAGGGAAATCTGTCCATTTGAAAACTCACAACTGTGGGGCACTAACCATACTTCACCTTCCATCTTGGCCCCCAAAAGGGTAATAAAGAAGAGCTTTATCAGAGCAAGGCTGATTACTTCCATGCAAAAAAAAAAAAATCTGTGGCAAAAATAACTTTTAATATAATGGTACACAATACAGTTCAGACCCCAGATTTTTTCCATTCTCCAGGTTTTTGAATTTTTGAGTTTGGGTAAACTTAAGGTTGTAGTTAAAAAACAAATTCCTGAAATACTGCAGCTGTCTTTAATTATTCTTCTTGCAATTACTTATCAGAGAAAACCAAAAAGGTACGGTAATCACGGTGGTCAACATTTAACGAGACTGTCTACATGACAGTCATAGAGACACCTGTATGATGACGACCTCGTGGTAACAGTGGACAACATTACTATATTTTACTGTACTAAAATCTGTAAGAGATATAAAAAATTTCAACTTAAGATTCTTCTCAGAACTGCTATTGTAGAGAAAAAGCTTGGTTTAAGTCTTACCACCTCCTTTTTTCTTAATATTTCCTAGGACAGTTAAGAGAGTTGAGGAATAAAATGGACCCGACCGTAATAAAGGAGGATGAGGAAAATACCTAAATCATACACATATTTTGTAATTATTCAAATAACTAAGAGCTGACTATATACAAAGAGATATAATGGCATAAGCAACAAAATGTTCCTTCTGTTTACTATGCATTTACACTATTTATGCTATTCATTTCTGTAAAATAGTTCATAAAAACTAGAACTGAAATGGCAAGCTGCTTCTCTTTTTCAACCCCTAGTAGGCATTTTGTATTACACAGTACATGATCGCAACAACTGCTGGACTAGTATTATGAGCTCTAGACAAACCTATGATATTTCCCAGTGCCCACACTGCTTGCTCACAGACATTCTGATGGGGTGAATGGAGAAGCCTCAGGAAAAGTGGCACAGCATCTGAAGGAAGAAAACACATGCTATCATTTAAGTCTGAAGATACTGTTATATATCAGTTAGATTTTTAAAAAATTGGAAAAAAAAAAAAAAGTTGAAAATACTGTAAACCGAAAACTGAACTTGTTTCTTTGCTGAAATTCCAAAAGAAACAAACCTATCAAAAAAATATATATATACATATATAAAATATATTCTCATTAAATGATTTTCATTAGATTAACAGTAGTACAAAATTTCTGAGTAGCAGACAAAACTGTCACCATCAAAATGACAGCTTCAATATACAGACAAACATCAAATTAAGTTGATAAAACTTTATTCACAATTAAACCGGATTTAAATTAAAAAAATTAATTCCTTATAGAGTAAGTATTATCTTCATATTTGAAAAAACCCTCCAATAGTTAAAATAACTTTTTTTTTCAATATAGAAATGTAAAATGGTATCACAGGGGTCTTTAACCAGGCCATGTGAGACATTTTGAATCAGAAAATGCTTGTTGCTTAACAACAAGGAAATACAGAGAGACATTTAACAGAATAATACTGCACTGAATAAATGATTCTTTCATTTCTTTTCCTTCTGATATTGCTTTGAAAAATGCTATTTAAGTACACAGAGATCAATCGGGTATACTTATGTGTGTGTGTGTGTCAGTCATTCAGTTGAGTCTGACTCTGTGTGACCCCATGGACTGTAGCCCGCCAGGCTCCTCTGTCCATAGAATTCTCCAGGCATGAATACTGGAGTGGGTTGCCATTTCCTTTTCCAATGGATCTTCCCAACCCAGGGATCAAACCTGCGTCTCTTGCATTGGCAGGTGGATTCTTTACCACTGAGCCACCTGGGAAGCCCTTAGACAAGAATACTGCTTATATATTTGAAGCGAATTTTCAAAGTACCTTCTTAAACTTATGAATTTCTTTGTTTAGTGTATGCTAAGTCACTTCAGTCATGTCCGACTATCTGCAACCCTACGGACTAGAGCCCGTTAGGCTCCTCTGTCCATTGGTTCTCCAGGCAAGAATACTGGAGTGGGCTGTCATTCCCTTCTCCAGGGGATCTTCCCGACCCACGGATCAAACCTGCGTCTCTACTGTCTCCTGCACTGGTAGGTGGGTTCTTTACCACTAGCACCACCTGGGAAGCAGAATCAAGTAATACTCATGGAAATAACTCAAGTTACAATAACATAACGCAGTGATTATTTCCTACTTACATTTGTTGGAACATAAACAACCAATCCTATAATAACAATGAAAAAAATTTCAAGCCATTGTCTCAAATGGCTACTTTATAAAACAGAAAATGTCACTCACTGGGATAAGATGACCAAAGTAACATACTTAAGTTGGCTTATTTCAACTGCCTTATGTGTTACTGCATTCAAAATAATTATTTTATAATTTAATAGCTCTATTCTTTCAGAAAAAGCACTGTTTTAAATAACCTGTTTTTGGAAAATTACAATTTTGTTTCTTAATAACCAACTTACTAGACTGAACTACTGCTTGAGTTTGTTCAGAGGTTCCAGATGCAATGTTTGTCAAAGCCCATGCCGCTTCAAACTGTAAAGAAGGACTACAAAAAAAACCAAATTGTTTTAAACAGCAGGAATTTCTACATTGGCCCAAAATATCTACCAACCATTCCTCTCTTCCAGAATTTTGAAAGTATTAAATATTTTGATGCAAATGATCTATATACCCAGTATTTTTTAACTTCCAATGACTATTTAAAATATCTCTTTGGTATAAAACACATATAATCCTCTCAAAGTGTTTTTACTTTTATTAAGAACTCTTTATTAAGATACCTGCACATTACTAACTAAACAGTTGTCTTAAGTAATTATCTGGATAAACTAGATCTTACTAATTTTTAAAGCTTAAAGGCTAACTAAATATATCACTCGCAAGTTCCCTTTTGATCTTTACCGTCTCTTGGTGTAAACATATCTTACATTGTTTTTCCTGCTGGCTTTTATCTCCATCTTATAGCCCTTCTCTTTTTTTCATTGAAGATCAAACTAACTACTAAGAAAATGTTATCTTCTGCAAAGGACACACCCTAAATTATTTCTTAAAATAATGTACTTACTTGTCATCTCTTTCAAGACAATGGACTAAAATAGGCAATATTCCAGATTTTATTAAGTCATCAATTGGTGGATTACGATCACTGGACAAAAGCTTCCTATAAGAGATATACATATACGCCTTATGAAACTTAATGAAACATAATTAAATTCAAATTCACGTTTGATTACAATAAACTGAATATTTGGCACAAACACTCTTCCTGAAAGTTACTTTATAAATTTATATAATGCAATTTTCTCTATTACAAAAAGATTAATTTATAAATTCACAGAAATTATTAATAATTAGGAAAAATGGTAGACATGAACCATTAGACATGGTTCTAACAACCATAAAGACACGAACACTTTAACACTTCTTTTAAGTTAGGACAAAAGTGTGCAGGATGCTGGTACAAGTTTATAGCTGATACCAGTTTCCAATTCTTTATCCTACTCTATACAGTAAATTAAAGACCATAAAAGCTCAACAACATTGTCAACAACTAAAGGAAATGTTATTCCCCTATATAAACCAAGTGATACCTGCTAATTTACTATCCTATCAATCTAAACTCCTTGACTGAGCTTTGTAACATTCCACAAACTGACTCCCATTTTATTTGTCTAACTAATCCTCTATAATTCAAGGGTCAGTTGTCTCTCCCAACATTTCAATCTAATTTGCAGGCCCTTCAAATCTTATTTCCCACACTTGGAATGCTCTTTTTTCTATCTATTCAAACTCTGTCTATACAACCTGTGTGTGTATGCTTAGTTGCTCAGTTTTGCCTGACTCTTTGCAACCCCATGGACTGTGGGCCACCAGGCTCCTCTGTCCGTGGGGAGATCTCCAGGCAAGGATACTGGACTGGGCTGCCATGCCTTCCTTCAGGGCATCTTTCCAGCCCAGGTCTCCTGCACTGCAGGCAGATTCTTGACAGTCTGACCTACTTTCTCTAAATTCCAAGAATATTTACATGGCATACAGCTACACTTACTGTTGAGCACCACTATTTTTTACATAGTTTTGCCTTCCTAATTACTTTCTAAACTTCTTACAGAGCAACAATTATTCCACATGCTTCCTCATAGTATTTTTCATAATATATGGCACAATTCTTTACACAAAGTAGGAAATAAGCCAGTCTTTAACCCAGTCTTTGTTAATCAAGCTTTCAAATTTGATAAAAGAAAACTTCTTTTTTACTACTTCACTAAGGACATTCTTAAAGAGAAATGATGGTTTTTCTCCAATTGCAAAATGGTACATACCACATACACAATCATTAGTTTGGTGACACTGTCTTGGTTTGTGCTAAGGTGCCAGTAATTTACCCAGCAATTTTGCAGTTTAAAAAAACAAAAGGCAAATAAAAGTCTTATTCTTTTTTAGAATTATTGTGAAAATAACGGTGCCTAAAGTTATCTCAGGATCTCCTAGGGATCCACACACTGTATTTTCAGATACCCTGCCTTAGGACTTTCATTATCTTGCAGAACTCATGTTGAGAAGAGCTGCTCCAGTATTATAATTAACGCTGACAATGGTAAGCATAATGTATTCATTTCTTAATCATTCTTCCTATTAACATTAATTTGTTATTTGAGATATGATAATTTCTGTGACTTTCTTCCTATATTAACAAAGACCTTTCTAATAAGTTCTTTAACCTGTAGAGGGCAACACTGTAATCTTATAATTTCCTTATCTGTTCTAGGCCATTTACACTGAGTATACAAAAGTAGCAAAGTCTAATAAACATAAAAGGGACTCAAAGCACTGGATAAGATATTACATGAAGGCGTGAAGTCTTTTCCACTTTAAAATTCTATAATGAGTTAATTTCGTGCTTAAGTGGCTCTTTCCTACTGATAATTAGAACATAGGGTATTATTCTTATATATATAAAAAAACAAAGAAACCACTATATTGTACTATGATAAAACCATGTCTTCCCCAAGCTATTTATTAATACAAATGTCTCAGTGGTTAAGTTTCTCTGGCTTTTCTTTGAAATACGAGTGCACAGGTTTTACAACAGAAATGTGTGAAATGATAAGTAGGAGTTTCTGTAGCCCTAAATCTTAACATCTTGCAGCCTGTACACTGCTGTAGTAAGCTTTAATTCAACTTATCATTTGATCAATATGAAAATTGTGAGACGAATCAGCTACCCAAGCACAATCTGAAGAATCTCACTTTTAATAAAGTTAAACCTATTATTCAGTAAAGAATGAAAAGTTTTACACTGTTTTTCTATTAGTCTATAGCAATAACATGTCAAATCAACTTTTTTCCAGTGTTTGCAAATATTAAATGTACACTAAAGCTTCCAGGTATTAGTGAATTAGAAAATTGCTAATTTTAATTAGAGAATAATCTTACAGAATAATTTTTAAAATAAATTCATTAGGTCTATGACTATTTTTTATTGTTTGTCATCAAAGTTAACATAACAGGACTACTATATAGTAAAAAGGCAAAAGAGAACTCCTAAGTTACAAACGTTAAATATGTCCTTAACTTACCTAGCAGCTTGAACTGCACTTAATTGAATTCCTTGGTTATCACTTGAAGCATTCTATAAAAAACCAAACAATTTGTGATGCAGATACACAATAATTAGTATACAAGTTCAAGAAATATGAATGAGGGTGGGGGAGGGGAAATCAACTTACTTGAACTATAGCTTCTAGAGAGGTATTTTGCTAGGAAAAAGTTAGAGAAAATCAAGTTAAAAATTTACCTTGTAATTCTGTATTTATATAAAAATCTTTCACAGAATTTTTAAATTACCAGAATAACAATAACTTACCACTCTATAATCGCCATCTATGTCAGAGTCTTCACAGATATCTTCATGTGGTACATTCCTCCTCTTTAAGAGATGTTCATCTCTTTTATTCTTAAAAAAAAACAGAAATTCAGTTAAATTTTAAAAAGCTAAGTAGTTTCACATAAAAATTAGACAATCCTGTGCCTACAAAAAATACAAAGTGACTTTTAAAAGTAAAATGCAAATGCAGACAATTAAACCAAATTGTGAATTAAACACATAAACAACACCTATTTGAGCCCATCCAAACATTACATTTTTAATGAACTGTGAACAATGTAAAAACAAACTAAAAAAAAAAAAAAAAGATTAAAAAAGGTAAGAGTATAGTTTAAGCCAGAACCAAACATACATATTTATTTAAAAGTACTGAACCATTTTATACATCATCTGGGAGCTTCTCTTTACCTAAATGCAAAGTCAAAGCAAAAGTTGGGCAGTTCAAAAATCAGACGAAAATTAACAATGTCTTACAAAAATTAAGGGCCACTTGAATTTCACCAAAATGTTCAGGACAAATTTTCAAATACATTTTCAACTAACCTACTTTATTACTTGAGAAGTTGATAAAATTTTTAAATGCCAAGTTCCTTTTATGGAGCAATTATTGTAAATAGCAGAACTATTAAGTATAACTATGACATACACTTTTTATAAACCATTTAAAATTACAGAAGAAAAAAACCATCAGATAATGTGTTTACCTCTATTTTAGATAGTTGACAAAATGCACCTTGTCAATTTCAACAGTTGTCAAATTTAGTCAATACCTCCATTTTCAAAGAAAAAAAAAAAACGCTCATTTAAGCACTTGACACTCATATGCATTTGCTAATTTCTCTATATATGGCTGCTGTAATTATACTTGAAAGTACACAGTATTAATCACACTCACCTTTCTTAATTCAACTACAACTTCATTTCGTTGTCTTCTCATAGTCTACAAGAAATTAAACAGAATTGTTTAAAAAAAATCACCTCAAATTCCATCACCCAGGGAAAACTGCTATTAACATTTCGATGTACACCCCCTAATCTTTTCCTCTAGTCATATATATACATAAAGTCATATTTTACTCCTAATAAAGATTATATGATGATTTCCTATCTTCATTTCATATTCACATTCTTAAATACTGAAAATCTCTTTGAAATTATTACTGGAACTATAATATTGGATATATCATTAAAATTTAAAACTGTAACATAGGAATTACTAAAAACACAAAGGTACAAAGAATAATCCATAATGTCACCCCCTGTAAGAATTCCCTATTTAAAAACATATGTACAAGGTAATCTCACTCCCATATGAACCCCCTATTTAAAAAGGAATATATGTACAAGGTTAGTAAACTGAACTGCATTAAAAAAGGGGGGTGTGGGAGCGGGAGAAAACCTTCACAGCCTCTTTCTTTAAAGATAAACATAGCTTGGTTTATTATGATTCTGATACACTTATTCTGTTCTTTACCTTATTTTTATTTATTTTATTTAAAGATCTGGAAGATCTTTCATGATGGTATATGCAAATCTATTTTATTCTTCCTAAGGAGCATATATAATTATTCTATCACATACTGTAACCATTCTGTTTTTTAACCTGTTTTTCTCACTTTAAAGTTACCTAATACATGGATACATGTTCACTGTAAAACATTCAGACATTCAGAAACGATACCAGTTCACATTATGTATAGGACCACCTCATTCTTTCTAATAACTGCACCTGCCAAGACATATTAAGTGGAGAGAGCAATTCATGAAGTAATACTTAGAATGTCTAATAAATACATCAAACATATCTGAAACCGACACTTTTGATCTTTAACAAACATATGTTTTACCCCATCTCACATGGTTCATATGAGGGTGAGATTAGTTCTCATGACTTCTCATGAGAACTCTTATGAGTTCTTTTACCCTTAGTATTTTTGTATTTTTATAAGCCCTATGTTAGTTTTAAAAATTTGCAATATATCCAATATCCCAGGTCTATTAATAATTTCAAAGAGATTTTCAGCAAATGGCAACTCTATCCTTCCAGTTGCACAGATCAAATTATATCTTAAAGCCATTCCTAATTCTTCCTTTTCTCTCATATTATATACTCAATTTGTTAGCAAATCATATTGGTTCAATCATCAAAACTTATCTGAAATACAACTACATATGATGATTTCCTCTGCCACTCTCTGATCCAACTCACCATTATCTCTCCTCTAGATAACTGCAAAAGCCTCCTAACTTGCATCCCTCTTTCTGTTCTTGCTCTCCACCTTTCTTCCAGTCCATTACTGTCATAGCAACCAGAGTAATCCTCACAGGGAGTCTTAATTTTTGTGTGCCACAGATTTCTTCGGCAGCCTGGTGCAATCAACGGCCACCTTTTCAAACTGTTGCTGTTACTCAGTTGCTAAGTCATGTCTGACTCTTTACGACCCCATGAACTGCGCCAGGCTTTCTTGTCTCCTGGAATTTGCTCAAATTCACGGCCACTGAGTTGGTGATGCAATCCAACGAACTCATTCTCTGTTGCCCCCTTCTCCTCCTGCCCTCAGTATTTCCCAGCATCAGGGGCTTTTCTTCTGAGTTGGATCTTGGCATCAGGTGGCCAAAGTATAAGAGTTTCAGCATCAGTACTTCCAATGGATATTCAGGACCGATTTCTTTTAGGATTGACTAGTCTGATCTCCTTGGCAGTCCAAGAGACTTTCAAGAGTCTTCTTCAGCACCACAATTAAAAAGCATCAATTCTTCAGTGCTCAGCCTTCTTTATGGTCTAACTCTCACATCCGTACACAACTACTGGAAAAACCACAGCTTTGACTATACAGACCTTTGCTGGCAAAGTGATGTCTTTGGTTTTTAACACACTATCTAGGTTTATCATAGCTTTTCTTCCAAGAAGCAAGTGTCTTAATTTCATGGCTGTAGTCACCAGTAATTTTGGAGCCCAAGAAAATAAAATCAGTCACTATTTTCATCACTTCTTCATCTATTTGCCATGAAGTGATGGGACCAGATGCCATGATCTTAGCTTTTTGAAGTGTTGAGTTTTAAGCCAGTTATTTCACTCTTTCACCCTTATCAAGAGGCTCTTTAGTTCCTCTTTGCTTCCTGCCATAAGGGTGGTGTCACCTGCATATCTGAGGTTGTTGATATTTCTCCTGGCAATCTTGATGCCAACTTGTGCTTCATCTAGCCCAACATTTCACATGATGCACTCTGCATAGAAGTTAAATAAGCAGGGTGACAATATACAGCCTTGACATACTCCTTCCCCAATTATGAACCAGTCTGTTGTTCCATGTCCGGTTCTAACTGTTGCTTCCTGACCTGCATACAGGTTTCGCAGGAGGCAGGTCAGGTGGTATGGTATTCTCATCTCACAGTTTGCTGTGATCCACACAGTCAAAGGCTTTTGTGGAGTCAATGAAACAGAAGTAGATGTCTTTCTGGAATTCTCTTGCTTTTTCTATGACCCAACAGATGTTGGCAATTTGATCTCTAGTTCCTCTGCCTTTTCTAAACCCAGCTTGTTCATCTGAAGTTCTTGATTCATGTACTGCTGAAGCCTAGCTTGAAGGATTTTGAGCATTATCTTGCTAACAAGTGAGTGCAATCACACAGTGCTGCCCTTCTTTGGGACTGGAGTGAAAACTGGATGACATCCTGAGTGCAGTATGTCATCAAACCATCTTTGAGGAGTTAAAGCAGCTCAGCTGGGATTCCGTCACCTCCGCTAGCGTTGTCTGTAGTGATGCTTCCTAAGGCCCACTTGACCTCACACTCCAGGATGCCTGGCTCCAGCTGAGTGACCGCACCATTGTGGTTATCTGGGTCACTGAGACCTTTTTTTCTGTAGTTCTTCTGTGTATTCTTGCCACTTCTTCTTAATATCTTCTTCTGTTAGGTCCTTGCCATTTCTGTCCTTTATTGTGCTCCTCTTTGCATGAAAATGTTCCCCTGGTAACTCCAATTTTCTTGAAGAGATCTCTAGTCTTTCCTTTTCTATTGTTTTCCTCTATTTCTTTGCATTGTTTACTTAAGGCTTTCTTATCCCTCCCTGCTATTCTCTGGAACTCAGATAGTGGTTTTAAATATAGAAATGAAATATAACTATTACAAAAAAAGCCAATTAAACTAATTGTTCCCAAAATATAGAAAACATGAAACAACAAACTGTGATATATATGCTTCATTATCATATTAAATGGAACCTAGCAGTTCCATAATAATTACTATACTTTCAAAGTAATGCTGACCATGAATGGTATTTCAGGATATTGTGCAACAAAACTCTGATTTTTATAGGTGGGAACAAAAATCACAGGTAACTTTAGTAAATATGGAGGTTTATTCTACCCATAGACTTCATGGGAAGAAACCCTTTTTAAAACCCTTTCAGTAAAGATACCCTTTCTAAAAAGTAAATCAGATCAATTTACTCCCCTCTTCAAAACCACCCAATGGTTTTCCACTTTGGAGTAAAACAGCTTCCGTCTTCCCACCTCATCCCCTCCCTGGTTACCATCTCCTAGATCTCAACTATGATTTTCTCCATCCATTCTGCTGTATCCTCACTAACTTTACTATTCCTCTAACACATTGGAAATTTTCTCTTCAAGGTATTTTCTAACACACCATATAGCAACTACTAAGAAAATGGACTCTAGAAATAAACTGGTTGGGTTTAATTTTCAGCCATAATACTTGTTACCATGCCTCAGTTTCCTCATCTATACAACGGGGATTAAACAAACACACAAAAAAAACCACCTATGGGCTTCCATGGTAGCTCAGTGGTACAGAACCCACCTACCAATGCAGGAGACGAGGGTTTAATCCCTAGGTCGGGAAGATTCCTGTGAGAAGAAAATGGCAATCCACTCTAGTATTCTTGCCTATGAAACCTCATGGAGAGAGGAGCCTGGCAGGCTACAGTCCATGGGATCACAAGTTGGATATGATTTAGCAACAGAAGAACAGTAACAAAAATACCTATATCATAGAATTACTTTAAGGATTAAATGAACACATATAAAGTACATAAAATTTCTGGCAATGGTGCACATATTAAGGCATTTATTATTGCTCCTGTTACATCCTCAGGCTGTAATGCTCTTCCCTCAGTATTTGCAGTGTTCACTCATCTTCGAGTGTTTCAAATGTCACCTCCATGATGAGATCTTCCTCTTCCTAACTATCCAGCAGCTATACATCGATATATCTGGGTACTGGGCTTCTCTTATTTTTCTCCATAGCACTTACAACATTTTAATACACTATGTAAGACTTTATTTGCTTATTGTCCCCTTCCTCCATGAGAATATAAGTTCTATATATAAGGAATAACATGAGGAATAAATATTACTTCTTCTCAAAATGTGCTGATCTTACATGTGTGGAAATCTTTACCTAAATTTTTGACCAAATCAATTTATCCCATCTTTGTTTAAGTGATCATTTGAGCTTTGGTAAAGCTATGGAATTTAAAAATATGACAACTGAAAATACTAATAAATATTAGTATTGTACAGTATGCTGCAAATGAGTAAAAACAATAAGCCAAATACTATAATAAGAGTTTCAATATTCACCATAGTTCAATCATTACAGCCTTCAGAGGTTAGAAGAAGAAATCTTTCTTTCTTTTGGCAAATAAGGAAACTGAGGCTTAGAAAAGTTAAATTACTTGGCCAAGGCTACATGGCTAGAAGTGTGACACCCAGTATTACAATTTAGAGCGTGTGTGCATGCTGAGTCGCTCAACTGTGTCTGACTCTTTTTGACCCATGGGCTTCAGCCTGCCAGGCTCTGTCTATGTGATTCTCCAGGCAAAAATACTGGAGTGGGGAGTCATTTCCTTCTCCAGGGGATCTTCCCGACCCAGGGGCAGAACCCGTGTTTCCTGCGCTGCAGGCAGTAAAGGCTCCT